GGATCTGTTTTAAATGACAAGCGATAAGCGTGATGCCCCGACTAAGGAAAATAGGGATTTATTTTTATATACATAGATAAGTATAGATAGATCGTAGAATTTTACTTCTCGGAACAATTCAATCTACACACCGGTCAAACACATAGTTAGACGGACAAAAAGTTATGATTGCATGTCACTATGGAAACCCACAGGTCGCCGTACTGTAAAATATGTATACAGATGTACAATTTATACGTAAACAATTTATTTTTGCCGATTTCAACCATTTAAAATCAAAAATTTGAAAAATATTTTCTTAGTGGAACTTGACATTATAATATTAATCTATCCTCAAAATTTCAATTCGATAACTCAAATATTTTCGGCTCTGCGTTGATCATTGCACACTTTCTTTTATATATATGGAGACACTCTTGCAATGTACATAGTGTAAATTATTTTAGATGTATTTTACCTAATAAAAATAATTATATAGTTATAATACTTAATAACGACAATTTGTCGACGACAAAAATGCTCAGTCTGTCACTGTGTAAAATTGTTCAATTGGCGTAAAAAATACATGGTACAAACTCGATAAAGAAATGCATGTGAACAATTTAGTGAAGGAGAATCAAGGTTTAATATTTTATTTTTCAATATAATAATGATTTAAAATTCAAACATATTAATAATTTAAAATTTAATAGTATAACAATGATTAAATGATTTTGTAAAAATTAATAATGTTCGTATGATTTTGAAATTACAATGTTGTTGTTAGTAGTATTTTAAAAATGTCTTAATAAGTTTTTATTATATTAAACTTTATTAATTTTATTATTTTTCTTCCACTTCGAACCACATAATATATTTTTTTTTAAATCTGTGATATCTATTACTGCGTTAACCTTATACGGCTATATAGACTACAAAGTGACACAATCGGTGTGTTGTATGTATATTATGTATAGGTACCTATACTACAACTACAGGGACGGCGACTGGCGAGAACGATTCATTCATAAAATGCACCTGCACTCTTTAGCAATCATGCAGGCAGGTGAGGATTCAGATTTATATAACAAAGGGGCATGTTATTGTACATTCAAAAATAAAATACCTGTCTAATATAGATAGGTATGTGTTATGTACGTATATGTGTGGCTACCAAGAAATATTTTGTTTTTTATGCAGACAAGAATGTTCAATTAAATATACCAATGTTGCAAAATTTAAATACAAAAATTATCATAGCACTAAACTGAAGTGTTGGACGCCATACAGACACCTATTTTATTGTCTTCGTCTTACAGGTGCGTTACATACTTACATAACAAATTTTCGTTCAGCAAATCATGCTTGGCTTCGTTAGTTTAAAAATTAAAGTGAAACGACCTATTATCAAACTAAATGGTGAGAATACTATGGGTTTGCACTAGGTTTTTTTTAAAGATAATTCAGTTTTTAAGTAATTTATGAGCATTTTTAATTTACGCTATATTATAAGAGCAAAAGTTGTTAAAAACATTTACTATCATAAAAAGCCTACATACAAACACAGATGATGTGCTTACACTTTGTTGTAACTTCTTCTGATAACAATTTATGAATTTATTTTAATCTTATAACATAAATTATATTTGATGTTTCTTTCGATGGCTGTGACAATAGTTAATCAGTTATGAACTTAATGTACTTAAATACCTACTTAATGACTAAGACCACAGTATCTGATAATTTTTATTAAATATGCATAAGTAATTGTATATTTATATATATATATATATTAATAATTTAAACAAGACTACAGGTCGAAAACGTAATATTATGTAGGTATACATGTATAATGTATTTATGTATGACGATTTGTATTTAAATGTGCGTTTGTGAGCTGTAAGTAGGTACTTACTAAAATATTCGTGTAATACAAAAAATTGGCTTCATGTTTTAAATTTTGTTTAGAATCAAGTAGCACCATTGCTCTAAACAGTTCTCTGAAATAAATTCAACTTGATTATTTGTACGTATAAAGTATATACACTATTATACACGGATCTAAACAATACATCATCTCAATCATTACTTAGTTACCCAAGTATAAATGTTTATTAAATGTTGACACTTTAAATTTCAAATTATATTACGTTCTCTTAGTAAACTTTAGCCATGACGGTGATAGACTGGTAATCGGAAAAAAAAGTCCCGGTAAAAAAAGTCCCAGAAAAAAAAGTCCCGGTAAAAAAAGTCCCACACTAGGAAAAAAAAGTCCCGAAAAAAAATATTATTCTTGTAGGTACTTGTACAGTTCTATAGTAAGTTGTGCTTTGTATTTTAGTGTGTAACTGTGTAAGTGTAATGAACAAAATGCTTGTACATATATTTGTCATCTACCATAATAAGTAATAAATAATAGTAAAAAAAGTTTACTGGAAAATACCAAAATACTTATTCTTATACTGCACTTGTACAGTTGTACTTTGTACTTATTTTAGTGTGTAATGTATTGGTAGGTATAAAATATATTTTTTATCTACCATAATAACTATCATAAGCCATATATTTTGATCCTATATTAATTGGTACACTAGAAAATTCCCCATTTCCGAACATCACACACAGTCATATATAGGTAATGAGACTGTTGCCAGTCTTTTGGATGACATCGTAATAATTGACGTTTCGTAATTTCGTTTATACGTTTGTTTTTAAATTTTATATTTTTTCGCAGTATATAAAATGGAGTTGGAGTTAATCAATTCTAACAAAAAATACCCTCAGGTTGCGCATAAGGGATTTTTGTACAATTTCCATAAAGAATGCTCTAATTTTCTTCGTTGGAGGTGTTCAAAAAACAGCTCTATGAAGTGTCCATGTTTTTTGAAAACTAATTTGAACATAGCTAAGCCAACTTTGATTTCTGTAAATAACGATCATGTGCATGAATCAAATGAAAATTTTATTTCTGCGACTAAAATAAAAAATTTAATGGTGGAAAAAGCTAAGCTAACAAACGATTTACCTGCTCAAATTTTCGCGGAAGTGGTATCAAACGTACCCCGAAGTATACTCGCTGAATTGCCAAAAGAAGAATATCTTAAAAGAACAATTAGAAACCACAGAGCATGTAATGATCCACCTAAACCTACTTGTGGAAACGAAATAATTATTGAAGGTAAATAATATTGTAAATTTTTAAAAGTAATTTTTATACTAAACGTAGCTTAACGCCTTAACCTAGGTACTCTCCAGTTGATTATTTTATTAAATTTAATATTTTTCACATAATTTTAAGCCATTACACATATTTTTTTAATTTAGGAATAATTTATTTTTACTAGGAGAGTATCGGGAATATGGAAATGAAAGATTTTTTCTGTATGATAATGGCCCAAATTCTGATGATAGAATTTTAATGTTCGCCACTGATAACTATTTGTCGTTATTGGCCAAATCTTATACCTGGTTTGTCGACGGAAATTTTGGCCTCGCTCCCTAATTTTTCAAGCAATTATACGTTATTCGTGTACAAATAAATTCCGTATTTGTGACATCAGTTTATTGCGTTCTGCAGAAAAAAGTCAATCTACATATGAAAAAATATTTAGTATTTTATTAAAAGAATGTCAAGATCGTGACTTGTACCCAGATCCGAAATTTTTACATTTAGATTTTGAATTTGCAGTCATAAATGCTGCAAAAAATATTTTTGGAACTCATATTACGATTAACGGATGTTTTTATCATTTGTGTCAATCGACACATAGAAAAATTCAGAAACTTGGTTTGTCTGGGATTTATAAAGAAGATAATAATTTTCGAAAATATTGCGGCATGATTTATGGATTAGCTTTTCTACCACAGGATAAAGTACTGGACGTAATGACATGTCTAAAAGAAATAATGCCTCCAGATGCAGAAGACCTTTTAACTTATTTTGATTCTTATTATGTAAATGGTACCTATAGGCGTGTAGGTTCAGCTTCTACCTTGCATTTTAGAAAAATTCCACCTATATTTTCACCTGCCTCGTGTAATGTACATAATGCCACTTTAGTAGGGGGGCATCGAACAAACAATATGACTGAAGGATGGAATAACCGATTTTCAAAGTTATGTGGACATAAACATCCAACTATTTGGAAACTAATTAGGAAAATAAAAATGGAAATTTCCGCAGATGAAGCGAAATTAGCTTTAGATGCTGTAGGAGATTCGAAAACTGTTAAAAAACTAGGGCAAACTCGGACAGTAGAAAAACGGCTGCAAAATTTATATATACAAATACAAGCGGGCAATATCTGTGTTTTAGATTTTTTAACAGCCGTAAATCATAATATTATAAGAAAGAGGTGTACCTAATTATAATATTACATTTTTATAGCATTATTATTATAATTATATTGGTACTTTAATTGTATTATTATTATTTACTTTTTTTTGACTTACTTATTATTGACTATTTATTATTGTAATAAATTGTAAGTAATTAACATCTTTTATGATATTATATGACTTTGTATGTATTTATATATTCATCGGGACTTTTTTTTCCTAGTGTGGGACTTTTTTTACCGGGACTTTTTTTACCGGGACTTTTTTTTCCGCGATTCGATAGACTGCGAGCTGTAACTATTTAATTTACCTAATTTGTATCGACCGACGACGCTGCACAGTACAATATTTGCCACACAAATTGCCTACACCAGACCCCTTAAAAATAACAAGATTGTTGCGGTCTCGTGAACTTTCTTTTCGATACCTCTTATAAGAATCGTAAATAGTATTATTGGTAAGCATAATAATTTAGGTGTTATGTTTTCGTCGCCGGGTCTTCATTCCGTCCCGAACGCGCTTCGGCGGCGGTCGGATGTCGTCGCGACGGTCTCGGGGCGGAGCTGAAGCGACGTCGAAGTTGTGTGTGTCTACGACGTTATCGACGGACGGCTTAAGGCGCTACAACCTGCATGCATACTATGAATAATCTAATACACCCATTATAGTGGCTTGGCTCAGCACGTCGTCGAAGGTCGCACCGCGGTGGCCACGACCTTAGCAATTGTGCGTATGTGGTCTGTACACACTAAAACACGTCACAACTCACGACTGTTGTAGACCGCTCGCTCGACAGTGTCCACAGCATCACCGCCGCTAAATAATATTGTTATCATCACTATCGTCGTCGTCGTCGTCGTTGTTGTTGTTGTTGTTGTTGTGTAACCACCATTATCATAGTTATCACCATAGAGACCTAATGCGGTTGGGTAATCAGCTACGGTTATCGCTTATCACGATCGTCGATTTTCTTTCACTCTCTCCGCTCTCACACCTCACTCACTCGCTCGCTCGCTCTCTCTAACCCGCTCAGTGATCAGGCCGAACCACGGGCTGTCTTTTACCTCTGCTCACCGCCTTAATACTTCGGAACGCACGAAAATCATATCACAAGCATAACATCCGCGCACGTCCACCGTAGAACGTTTGCCGATAGGCACTCTGACCGCCCCCGACCACCGATAAAAGGATCTTACGGTTTCCCGGTCGATCGGTCCGCATCTACGCGGAGCCCTGTGCAAGTGCCGAGTGGAAAGAGACAGTGATAGTGTCTGTCTTCGTCCGCGGCGATTATCGTCGTTCTGTCGGCTGCCGATAGGTTTTTATTATTTTTTTGCCGTTCCCGTCGCGGTCACGTTTTCCCCGTTTTGCCCCCCCCCCTTCACTCTCGCTGACACGCTCACGTTCCGCCACCGCTCCCTCAGAGACGACCGGTGTACCTGTCTCACTCGCTGTTGCGCTTCAGTTCCAGTTCCGATCCGGCTCGGTTCCAGCAGCGTCCGGCCCGTCCGAATGCGCCGTTCGAGTCTTCCGGCGTCGTATTAACAACCATGTACTTACGTTCATCCACGTCGCTCTCACGCATCAGCGCCATCGCCAACCGTCGATCGCCGGCGGTCTTTAAACGTCGAGATTACAGTGACAACGCCGATAGCGCAAAGGTGAGATTGACTGATGTGTAGCCCCTCGGCGATTTTTGTTTGTACTTGTGTTGTTTCAATAATTTGGCACAATCGTAGTAGTAATCATTGTTTGTCTCTTCTATTTTGTGAAATGTAATTTGCAAAGTCTGAGGCAGATTTAGTGCCCTTTCGAATACAATTTCCATTTCAAATATCTTTTATCTGAACGAGTAAATCTAAATTACAATTAGTATTTTTGGTTTTATTTAATAGGTACCTAACATTTTAACGTTTTCAATATCAGTAGAAAAATAAAATATATATACCTACCACTATGTGGGTGAGGTACTTAGAAAACGAATAGAAATGATTATGTTATTTTTACTTATGACATTTCAAATTACCAAACATCAATTTTTTGCCATTAGATTTTATCATCAATAACAGGTAATACAATAAAACATTTCATTGATGTTTTATCTTAAAATTGTTTAAATCCATTTAACTTTTTTTTAAACCTTCCATAATTCAACATAATGAAAAAAAGCAATAGGTTGCACTAACTCATGCATGTAATTATGAAATATGAAATGTTGTCTTTTTAAAATTTTGTAAGTAGGTGCTTCTATGGAAAAAATTATCATCTCACTTATACTGATAGTATTTATTTTCATATTGAATTCACAGATAATAACTTAAATTATTTAATTTTGCAGAAAGGACTTGTCGTTGGCGTATACATTGACGATTCTGGTAATAACTTGAAACTTACACCAGCAGCTGACCAGATAAATCAAGAGAGTGGTGGCGCAATTTTAAAAGCATTAAAAATGTAAGTATCTATATGACATTTATATAAAATTTATTTAAATAGCTTTAAGAGTGGTGCAAGTAATTTAATGTTAAATCTATATTTTTCTGCATTTTATTTTATTACCTAAAATATATTGTTATTTTATTTTTTTATTATTATTTTTTTTAAATAGTTTTAAGTTATGTTAATCTATGTTAACATTATTTCATTATGCTATATTACCCTTCTAAATACCTACCATTATTTTTTAGTCGAAACTGTTAGGTAAATTATTATAGGTATCATCGACCCGCATTAAACGAAAAAGAACCATTATACCAAAACTATTAAACTTATTTAACTTATTTAACATATCATTTATTAACAAATTCTTCATGCCTATCTATAGATTGTAAACTTTTATTATCAACTCAGTGTACCTTGTACCTTTTTTGTATTTTTATAAATATTGAGTGTCATGAATTACAATGCTCTTGACAGCGTAAGCTGGTATGCTTTGATTTTAACAACCTTGCAAACATATTTTTATTCTAAAACATAACAAATGTATAAAATATAATAAGATTAATTCAATAATACCAACTAATTTTTATTAATTTAATTTATTTTTGAATTAGTAAAATATTGGCAAAATAAATACAACTGCACTTACTGTCAATTTAGTCACCTCAACTACAAAAATATAGCTTGTAATTTATTCAATAACCAGGGGACTAACATCGTTAAAAAAATTCTTATAAATCAGAATTATATAAATACTTCTTGTTAATATTGTATATCAGAAGTCTGTTTTATTTAACAGTATCTGAGAATAATTAAATATTTGTCTAGATTTATACAACTGTTAAAAACAAATAAACCTTACTATTATTTAGTAAGAATAAAGAGGTTTTTTTTCGATTTTTTGTACTTTCATATTTTTTGTAAGTGTGGTGTTAGTATACAAAAATAATTTAGATACCTCATACATACTTAGATTATTATTTTAACTAATATAAATTTATATGTTTGTTTAACAATTTGATTTAAGTTTTCATTTTGTAAACTGAAATGATAAGAGATGATTATGTAGTTATTAATGTGTCATGAGAATTAGGCATGAATAACAAATCATATTACTTTTAATGTGGCATTAAGGATATCCAAACCTTCCGGATTAGCTTTCGCTATTTAAGCTATATTTTACAAATACTTCGTTAATTTTCACTATTTATTTGCTTTTTTTTATAGTATTTTTATATTTTTATATTTTTGAATCCATATTTACAGATTGGTATTAAATACAAATTTGGTAGGTATTTTTCTTTCTTATTTTCTTTTTATTAGTATAAAAAAAATTGCTACTTTTAATGTTAACGTGAAATATAATTTTATTATTTAAAGTGGTTTACTAGTAACTCCTCTTTAAGATTTTGAATTTATGCCTGTATGATATATTAATATATAATTAAACATATTATTTCTTATTGTTTCAGTTTGCGACATACTAAAATGTATTAAAATAAAAATAAAAAACCATGTCTGAAATGACGGAGGAAGAGAACTCCGGATCACGTGCAATCAAACGTCAACATTTGGATTCCACTGACACTTCATTATCAAACTCTTCATCTGATTATTCTTGTCCTGTATGCTATGATATTATCCATGAAGCACATATCACTAAATGTGGGCATTCATTTTGCTATAGTTGTGTTTCTAGAAGTCTAGAAACAAATTCTTCTTGCCCAAAATGTGGTAACATGTTATCAGGCGGTATCTGTGATATATTTCCAAATCTAGCACTTGATAAATTAGTAACCAAGTATAAACTTGTAAATCCTGGACGAAAATTAGACAACTCTAGTAAACTAGGTTTAATTGCTGGATTACGAGGATTTGTCAATGCTGAATCTAAGAAATTAACATTATCTGATGTTGATGCAATGTTGGAACTTCTAACTCGGCGCAAACGTAAACTTGAAGCTGAGTCAGCTTTGGCTCAAAATCGGTTGCTCTATGAATTCCTTGAAAGGTTATTATGTGATAAAGAATCACAAATGCGCCGAATTGGAAGACAAGTAGAGTTGGTGAAAAAAGATGTAGCTTTTGTAAAAAAAATTTTAAAAGAATGGGAAGCCAAGAAACCTGTAGCTACTGATATAGAACACAATAATATCAATGAAAAATGTGATAACACTACTCCAATAAACAGTGTCAACAATTGTATTCCAGGTAATATTCAACGGAGACGTATGTGCTCCCATTTTGATGATTTTGTTGATTGTTATTTTTCATTGAGAGCAAAAGAATTAGTATTTGGTAATAGACACACGGCAGAAGAAGATTCAAATGTTAAAGAAAAAGATCATGAAAAAGGTTTAGACGAGTTTCGAGAAAATTTAGTGAAATTTTCCAAGTTTAATGCCCTCAGACCCATAGCTACACTGAATTATGGCACTGATATATTCAATAATTCTACTATAGTATCAAGTATTGAATTTGATAAAGATGATGAATATTTTGCTATAGCTGGTGTAACAAAACGCATTAAAGTTTTTGAATATGATTGTGTATTACGCGACAGTGTTGACATTCATTATCCTTGTGTAGAAATGATATCTGCTTCAAAGATATCTTGTGTTAGTTGGAACTCTTACAGAAAAAATACTGTTGCCAGTAGTGATTATGAAGGGGCTGTATGTGTGTGGGACGCAGGTACAGGTCAACGTACCAGGATATTTCGTGAACATGAAAAACGATGTTGGAGTGTTGATTTCAACAAAGCTGATGCTGGCCTAATGGCTTCTGGATCAGATGATGCACGTGTTAAACTTTGGACACTTAATCAAGAACGGTCTGTTGCATGTCTCGAAGCAAAAGCCAATGTATGTTGTGTCAAGTTCAATCCGGTTGGTGCTTCATACTTGGCATTTGGCTCTGCTGATCATTGTGTTCATTATTATGATTTACGACATGCTAAACGTGCTTTAGCTATATTTAAAGGTCATAAAAAAGCCGTTTCATATGTAAAATTCTTAAATGGAAAGGAAATGGTTTCTGCGTCAACCGATAGTCAGTTAAAACTATGGAATGTTAATGAAGCCCACGAAGGATGTGTTCGTTCTTTTGTTGGACATGTAAACGAAAAAAACTTTGTTGGCCTGGCCACTGACGGTGATTACATAGCTTGTGGATCTGAAAATAATTCTCTTTATATCTACTACAAAGGATTACAAAGAAAATTATTTACGTTTAAATTTGAAGCAAATAACGCAATTTTGAGTGCATCTGAAGAAGAAAAAGATAGACGAAGGGATGATGACGTTAATGAATTTGTTTCAGCTGTTTGTTGGCGTCAAACATCCAATATACTCATGGCCGCTAATAGTCAAGGAATCATTAAAGTTCTTGAACTTAAATAATTCTATAATTCGTTTCATTATCACCATAAAACTGTATATTTTTTAATTAGTTAATGTTATTATTTATTTTTATGTAAGATCATCTATTCATCTCATTTTTATGCAATATATTTTAAATAGTGTGATATTTTGTGTTTTGTTGTATGTACATCATTGGAAATGTGTATGTTCAAACATTATTATGTTGTATTGATAAATTTATAAATACCAATATTAAGTATCTGTGAATTTGTGTGCTTCCATAAGCCAAATGTCCATTGTCCTACATAGTATTTATAATAGATAAATTTATATTTTTATTATTATTATTATTATTATTACTATTAGCTGATTATAATTGTGTTAAAATATTTTATGTAGATGAACAGTTTAATGTGAATGCAAATTTACTAAAATAAATTTATATATGATTATAGAAATTTAAAAACTTTGTTGATTATTTTTTTATTTCTTCTCCATTTGAAACAATTGAGTTAAGTAATTTAGGTTATAATTTAGTAATATTATATTTTTTAGTGGAAAGGGGTTTATGAAAAAAGGAAAATCTCGGTTATTTTTTAACACTAACCTTAAGTATGGAACGATTGCCGTGGTTGGAATTGGTAAAGAAGAATCAGATGATAAAGAAAATGGTGATGGCATTGATGCTAAAAAAGAAAATATTCGCATCGCATCAGCTAGTAATGCAATAACATAAATTATTTGTTAGTTTTAATTTTGTATGTACTGGAAAATTGTATTTCAGATGGTTGTCGTAGTCTTGTAGATTGTGGTATCCAAAATATATTTGTATCTGGCATGGGTGATTCAGAAAGTGCTGCCGAAGGTTCTACACTGGGAACTTGGAAATTTCAAGAGTATAAGAACAAAAGAGATGAAATTCCAAAAATATCATTACTTGAAGATAAATCAAGGTTTGTATATTTAATGGTAAAAAAATACCTTAGTATAGTATTTTCATGTAACTAATTATAACTGAAAACTAATATCAAGTTTTCCTTTTTATGTAGTTGTAGTGATGGGTGGTGTCGGGGAATAATCAAATCAAATGCTCAAAATTGGTCAAGAAAGCTTACTGAATCTGCTTCTAATCATATGACTCCAACTGTGTTCTCTAAAGTAATGTATAAACTTGATTATTATTTTATTTAAATAATGTAATAATCTTTAAAGAGTAGCAACATTTGCGTATTTGTCTTAGTAATGAGTGTATAATTATTGTTTTATACTGTTAAAAAATTATTCAAATAACTGCAAAAAAAAAAAAATGAATGAGTTCTATACTACTTTGATATAATAGTTTTGAACAACTATAACTTATAAGTCATAAGATAGAACAAGTGTAAAACCAATGTCCACCTAAATATTTTTTCTGAGTTATTTATCTTGTATGATAGTTTTGTAGTTATTTGTAAAGCTTCATTTTATTTTCATGACAGTTATTTTTGTAAATAATGAACCAAAATTTTTTTTTAGGAAGTTCAAGATGTACTTGGGAAACTTGGTGTTAACGTAATAGTACGGGACAAATGTTGGGCTGAAGAAAACAAAATGGGAGGCCTGTTAAATGTTGCCAAAGGCAGTATACAACCTTTATCATTTTTGGAGATCAATTATTCAGGTGGACCCAAAAACGACAAACCTGTAGTTTTAGTTGGTATGCCAATATAAATACTGAATATGCAAAATAAAAAGTAGCAAACATTTGTCTTATGCTTGGCAGGCAAAGGAGTGACGTTTGACAGTGGAGGCATTTCAATCAAACCATCAGCAGCTATGGGTGAAATGAGAGCTGATATGATGGGCGCTGCAAATGTAGTAGCTGCCATCTCTGCGATTGCCGAACTAAAACTTCCAATTAATGTGATTGGTAGGTAAAAAAAAAATAGAAATTTGTGACAGCCATATTAATTTTATGCGGCTTATGAATGTAATTTATTATGTTTGTTTTGGATGTTGTTAAAGGGTTCAGAATATTAAACATTTATATTTTTAGGTCTGACTCCATTATGTGAAAATATGCCCAGTAGTAGTGCACTAAAACCGGGAGATGTTATTGTTGCCATGAATGGTAAATCTATACAAGTAGACAACACAGATGCTGAAGGTAGATTAATACTTGCAGATGCTCTCTGTTATGCAGCCACGTTCAAGCCAAAAATCACTATAGACCTTGCTACTCTAACAGGTAAATAAATACATTTGTTTCAAATTACATATAGTTTAGAATAATATTGTATCACATATTATTGTATGTATATTTATACATTATTTAAATATACTTGTGGTGTCAAATAGGTGCTATGGTAGTGGCCATTGGGGAAGCTGCTACCGGAGTGTTCAGTTCATCTAACATACCATGGGCTGCCATAGAGTCAGCTGGCCACTACACGGGTGACCGAATGTGGCGATTTCCCTTATGGAATTATTATTCTTCATTAATAAAAGGTACTTACAATACAAATAAAATAAATTTAAAAGGTACTTCAATGGACATAGTATGATTATTAGTTGATTCTGTTAAAACATTATCACAAAACTTAGCATTGTGTAATATGTTGATTATTTATGTATTTGTTTTATTTTGTCTCTTCAGGTTATTCTGGTTTTGATTTGGACAACATTGGGAAAGGGAAAGGTGGTGGTGCCTGTACAGCTGCAGCATTCTTAAAGGTATATGAATAAATATAAAAAAAGTATTAAGAAAATAGGAACTATAATATTATCTATATGTGTAATGTATTTATTACAGGAATTTGCCCCGCCTGGCGATTGGATTCACATGGACATTGCTGGAGTAATGAAAGCCAATGGAGAAGATGGTTTGTACATATCGAGAGGAATGTCTGGTAAACCTACTAGAGCATTAGTACAGTTAATTTCAAATTTGTCTGAAAAATCTTAACATTGTATCATAAGCTCTTTTTTCTGAAGTTATTACTATGAATATAATTGTCGCTGTAGTAATTATCAATTATTTCTAATAAAACTGATAATTAAATTAATTGTTTAGTTGTTTATTTTAATAGTTTTGAAGTTATACAAACAAAAATATATTTCATTTTTCGCGACGTATTAACATACAAGTTCGAGAGTTGCGTCTGGCGGCGGTTGTCCGATGAGGCTTGACAGCAATTATTTCTCTGAAATAGACTCTAATGGTAATTTACTACTCACACGTAGATATAGCCCATCACATGAATATACATGTCATATAAATTGCCTAAAAATTACTCCTTAAAACACGATACGCTCCAACCTTACTCCAAAACCACATTTTAATGCTGTTTCGTTTGTTTTCGTAGACGTGTTTTTCCTGCTAAAAATTACGGGTACAACGTCCTCATAATATTATTCTATTGTGTTTATCGTATGATATGTATATATATATATATATTGTGTCGTATGTGCAATGATTCCCTTTTTAATTTGGCTAACTATCTATCAAGAAATACTAGATTTTCAAGGAAGACATTGGAGTGTATCGATAGATACGTATCGGGTTAATTTCGAACTTTCAAGAAGATATTTGTTCAATATACAAGCGATAAGTACCGACCCGTATCAGACTCAGACTTCGATACGAGTAGGTACGTAACTATTCCTTTTTGATACCTACGTGTCGAATTTTTCTTCTTGAAAATGTTGATACCATTTTATTATTTATATTATATTATTATAGTAATTAGTATTTACTCTTACTGATTTTTTGATAATTATTCTTTGCTAATAGATGGATTGTGGTGGTAGTTCTCGCAGTAAATGTTGTTAATGCTAATCGCGGGATAGGTTAGGTTGTTTAGGCATGTGTGTAGGTCACACCAGTTTGTACTTTTTGCATTTTTAAAAACAAAACTGCATCAATATGTAATCATCGTATTACTTCATGATTTATAAATATTTCTTACAAGTTTTAAACGAATTATGAATAGGTAAACTTGTATTAAGTACCTATTATTCAGTGTTAGCCGTTGGGTAGTAACGCAACGCTTATTATAAATTACCTATTTTAACGAAATTACTTTTGCAGTAACTCTGTAGTAATTTCATTATATTAAAATTTAAACTAACGCCATAATAACGAAATTACTGTTTAAAAGTAATTTCTATGAAGTAACTGTTGTTTTCCGTATTATTAAAATATGTTATGAATGTGGAGTTTATAGCAAAAACTAGAGACTACGATATTCGAGAAAAATTAAATAATAATATTAAAATATGATTATTTTTATTTATTTTTAAATAATAAAATTGATCTATGAACCCGAAAGTTGTAGACAATAATCAATAATATTATTAAAGATTCCATGAATTTTAAGAGGACGTTACACCCGCATGTGTTGTCTCCGTCTTACAATTGTAAAACAGAAAAAACTGTTTCGCGCGGAAAAGAACAGAGAAGGCTACAGGGTTACAGATATAACTAGGAAACCAAATTTGCAACATGAATAGCGGAGAATTTCAACTACGTCGTTTTTATTTTTTCCATAAGATCAATACATCACAAGTTATTGAAGTTTGGAAAACGTAAATATATCAGATTTTTAAAAGTGTTTAAACTTATTTCTTATTAATGATATCGGACAGATAAAAACGGTACGAGACGGAAAACAATATACTCCATATTATGTAAACTTTTGGTGCTCTACCAGACTACCGACTGAGTGGTTCTATCCCGCGAAAAATAGTTTTTGCTATGCTGTACGTATGTACGTTAATATTGTAAGACAGAGACCACACATGCGAGAGTAGTGTCCTCTAAATACTTTTACATTTTGTTCATGTGTAACATTAAGCCATTAGCAATATGTACCTATATATTGTTATAATTATTATATTATTGTAATGCTGAACAATTTATTTACTAATTAATGGTATACTTAATACGTATAACTTATTAGTAGTTATGTACTGATTTTGGATTAATTTTTAAAAATGTTACTTTATTTGTAACGTCCTTGTACTTATTTAATGGAAAAGTAACGAAACGTGATCTATATATTGTCGGGTAATTCAAATAAAAATATCATTTTATTCCTTTTCGAGAGTAATTTACCTAACACTAGACTGTTAATAGTAACTTGTCTCGTTTTTGATTACAACGTTTTCGTTATATTGACCTTTAAGGTCCACACACACTGCGGCAGTGGCGGCAGTAACTTTAATAAATTAATAACTAATTAATAATTGACTAAACATTATCGTAAATAATAATAATTAAAACAAAAATAATCAAATAAAGATAACGATTTCAAAACTCAAATTGCCGGGAAAAAAAAAATTATATTTTGACTCCGCAATAGAGAAATGAAGTCCATAATAATGAAAACATTTCCCCACAACCAGCGGTGCAGAAAGTGTGCTCTGAGTGCTCAAGAGTGGAGCACTGCAATTAAAATATCGAATACCAAACATTGCACCAGGTCACTGAATATTTGTCAAATTGAATACGTTTTTGCACTGAGTGCACACTGAGTGCAACAGTGCGTCGAATTGAAAACGCTATAATATGATAGCAAAGTGTTTATTTTCTAGTGATAAGGATTAATTATTACGAGTGATGTAGATGGTGGTTGTTTACTCTTTCATCTTAGGTGCCAAATCCAGCATGATATGCGGTTCGGTCAGGATTAGTCGGATACTTGTATCTTGATTTAGTGATTACCGATGAATTAATTATTATTTTAATTCATGCTTTAATATTAATTATTTTAATGTACCAACGTTATCTATAAGTATTAGAATCAATAACTTGATGTGTTGAGTGTTGGCTTTGAAAAATATTACACGACTAGCAGTTGACTAATTTCTTACTATTTTTTTCAATTTTCCGTTCGATATGATTTGCATTATATTCCTTGATGACACCCGTAAGTCATAATATTCACCTGATGGCGTTGTTATACATGCAATATGATGACTTCATCAGCACGGGAGTTTAGTACAAGACATCATTAAGACCTGAAATGCAATTTTGCACTTTACAAAGGTAACATACCTACCAAATAACTATTTAATAAAATACAATGAAATTGTAATAAAATAAATTATTAATGTACCTATAGTGAATTTATTAATTTAAATGTTTTGTATTATTAACACTCTTAAAAATGTACTCAGAAGTCAGAATTATTAAAAACCCTTGAGCAAATGTTTTACTTTTATAATAGGTATGTCTATCATAAACTCATGCTTAGATATTTAAATAAATCATTTTGAGTAAATTACCCATTTATTAAAGTTATGCATGGTGAACTACTTAATATGTGAATTGAATAAAAAAAGCATATTACCAATTATATTTCTAGGTGGGAAATATTATAAAATATAAATTCTTAAGTTTACCTAGGTTATATATATATACTAGAAAATATGCCATTAATATTAGTATATTAGTTATTGCTAATAATAACAATTTTATGTTAGCCGTTTTTATTAAAAAATTTTGAATTTTTTTATCAAAACACCATTAAGTACTTTTTAAAAGTATTTTTTTTAACACTGCCCATCCTTGATGGCTATGGATCAATTTTTTTAATTTTATAATTATTTCAGTAGTATTTAAGTTCTTAAAACATATTTAAGTTTATTGATAGATAAATAAACATAATCCTTTTTTATTTTGACGCAGTTTAATTATCACACTAATCTTAGCTTGAACAATATGGGTCCATATGGTTCAGATTTATCAGTAGGCTTAAAATTGAACTATCTCTCATGGTCCAAAGAAATAACAATAACGACTAACAACCACTAAATAAGCTCCGCAAAAACATTTCGCACATAGCACCGATATTTGCCAAGCCGGCCCTGTATAGTTGCCGGGGTCGAATTGGTATGTATTGTCCAAAAAGATTTTCACTTCTAAGTGGCCCATTTTCATATTCACTGGCCCAAAATTACGTCTAAAATTGTTATGAGTTTGTAGGTAGCTTAGCATATTTTAAACATGAATTTTTTTTCACTCACACAACTGGCCCAAACTTTAACCCATCGAGATTTTCTTGGTAGCTCACCTAACCAATCCAGCCCTTGTAGTAATCCCAGGCAAAACAGTTTTTGCTATGTTTAACACTTGTTAGACACATGCGAGTGTAGCGTCCCCATAAGTTGGACGTATATTTAAATGATTCAATATTGGGATGGTTTTGTTACATTTTATTTCAAAATATTGTGCTCAATAAACAAAAAATGTTCTGAGAAACAAAGTTAAACAATATGGTAAATTGATGCAATAATAAAATAATTATTTAAAATGATTGTCAAATTGATTATTTATTTTATTTTTCCGTTTACTCTATAGTCTATAATCTGTGTGTGTAAACAAAATACTTTTTGAATTATCCATAGAATTTAATCATTTTAAAAATGTATACAGGTTTAATCTCTGATATTTCAACCTATTCTACTAAACTGTTTGATTAATTGTTGTTAATTATATTAGATCTATACAAATAATAGCTATAATTTAAAGTCAAGTTAAATGTATAAAAATAATTATTTTGTTCTTATTAGAAATCTAAATATCAGTAAATTTTAATATTAAAAATTATATATTGGCTACTTCTGAATACTCCTCTTTTAAAGTTAGTAACAAAGTTAGGAACATACTGCCAACTTCAAAGGATGCCAAGTCTACAAAGCTGCCTTCAAAAAAACCGTCCATCCAGCCAAGATTCCTGATTCCAACAACACCAACACTAACAACTATCAAAAAACCAAATCCTACGCTGAAGCCACCAAAACTCATCAAAACCTACACTCGGAACTCAAAACCACCGACGCTCTCTCAAGTTTAATATCAAATTTAAACTCACTAATTAGCCCCCTTATCTCCCTTCTTTCATCAGTCCTAAATGCACTCACAGCTAATAGCACTCCATAATCTTATCGTCCAGACAATCCATACTAAAATTAATTAACTTATATAATATCTTATCTCATTTCCTTTTCCCATTATATTATTTAAAAATATCTATACATGATCAATTACCATTCGACTCAACTAACACAACATAATATTTTGTAAAATTATATAATGTTTATACTTGTAATAGCATCTTGTATGCTGAGACATTTTAATATATTAAATTAAAAAAAAAAAAAAAAGTTAGTAACAAAATTAGTGATATTAATAACATTTTTTGAAAGGTTAAGAATCATTGCTTTGCAAAATTAAAAAAATTCAAATTTGCACTATATATTTTCACTTTACCGTGTACCCTAAATTTTAAAATTTTTTTTTCATGTTAGTAATTGTCCACACTAAAAGAGATGGTACAAAATGAAAATTGGTATTGATCTTAAGTTTTGAAGTTATAGGCGTTTGAAGTTAGTCTTTTTTCCAGTTTTTGTTAAATAGCCCTCTGCCAAGATTTGCTGATTTTAAATATTACTATATTACTAAATTAAATATTGTGGCTCAATGCTCAATGTGACTTATAGATAACTCGTGGCGCAGTTTTTGAACTCGTCGAGGTGTATTTTTGTACTTTTTTACCGTACTTGTAGATAAGTGTAATACCACTCATTAATATTTTATTTACCTTTTAACCTATTTGAGGTGGATTTTCATAACAAATTGAGGGATTTTTTTGAAAATTGGCCAAGCGAGCATAGTAAGCGAGTGACCTGGCCCAGAGTCTAGGTATGAAAAATAAGCAAATCTTGGTTATTTACACTAAAACGGTAAGAACAAAAAACTACAAATGGCTATAACATCAAAACTAATGATCTACCCCAATCTTCAATTGTACCACCCTTTTCAGTGTGAAAAATCACATAAAATTAAAAGAAAAATATGAAAATTATTGTGCCCGGTAAAATGGAAAAGTTCCAATTATACTCTTTAATTAGTAATACCTGAAATACAAGTTTTCTGTTATCATACACAAAAAAAAAAAAAATATAATTACACACAATTCTTCAATCAATTTATAATTGTACAAAAGATATTCTACACACATTTATTTTCTATTTATTAACATGTAAATTGAAGACTGAAATTATATTAGGTATGCTTGACTATTTTTCATTAAATATTTACAAAAACAATACAATTACTCAAGAGTTTATAAACTTAATTATTTTGTAAATATGTGTTATAATTTTTTTATTTTTATATTTGACTACAAAATTTTATTTTATTAAACAACTTCTAAATTGTTATTATATTTGTGTTTTAGGAAGATACTTGGTGAAATGCAGTTCCAAATATAATGAGACTTGTTGAGTGATCATATTATATATTTATGAATAATCAAATTAGAAAATTATTAGACCAAATTTAATACTACACTTCAGGATAGTAAGAATTACATTCTACTAAAATGGAACAAAATGCCATGGAGGTAGTTAACGAAAATGTGTTAGATGAACAAGCTGATGTTGAAATGGAACATCAGTATGAAAAAAAAATTGAATGTAAAGCAGAAAAACAAGAGTCACTTGTTAGTTTGAATGAATTAACCAAAAAATATTGTGATATTAAAGATGAACAACCAGAAATTAATGAACATAATAGCGATGAAAATAATGAGTATGTAAGCCGCACAGATGTTATTCAATCACAACAATTAAAAGGAGTCCCATATCATGAAAATTCAAGTGAAATTGAAATTATACCACCATTAAATGATGTTTTCAGTCATAAATTAGAAGCTGAACACGATTTTGAATTTGGTTTTAAACAAACTGAGGATTTTAATTTAAGCTGTGATGAAACCAATATAATTTCAAATAGTTTTTCTGATTCACTTTATACGGACAATTTTTCTTGTTCACTTTCTTTTAGCTTATCTAATCCATCTAGTAGTAGTTCTCATTTTTCTCGTTTGCCTAGAACATTAAATGAACATTCAGAATATAGTTTTACTAATGAAGAAGATCTTTTATTTAGTTATCTTAAAGAAATGTCTAATGATAATCTTGAACCAAAAGAAGATGTTGAGAATTTTGAAACATTGTCATTAGTGAAGAGTAATTTTATTAATGATACATTAGAATACGATCTTCTACAATATGTATTAGAAAATGTAAAATTTGAAGATGATAATGAAGTTGATAGAAATTCTGAATGTTTTGTAGGAGACAGAATAATTATTAATCCTGATATAATGTACAATATTGAACTTAGATTACATCTTAAGACAATGCAACTCTTAGCTGAACAAATTTCAAAAACACCTGATGACCTAACACTGTTAAATAGATGTATGGAATTAATATTAATTCCTGAAATGAAAAAAGAGCGACACAAAATTACTGATGAAAGTACACCATTTTGTGAAGATATTTCTGAATCAAATTTGTATAATATTCAACACAAGAACTGGAATAAAATAATAGTCAATCAACCAGCAGTGCTCTCGCATGTCAGATTTGATTATACTTCAAAAGACACTTTATATCTTCTAAAAAACGAATCTATCGAATACATAAGAAGATTAGTGGGCATCATGAAAAAAAATTTTGATATTCAACCCGAAAGCTCTTCTTTGAGCAGTATTGATTCAATTCAAAATAGTCTTCAAGAGGTGAATTTAATTACATTATTTAATTAGCAATAAAAATTTAATTTATAATTTATTTTTTACAATTTGAATATTATATTATTCCCTTCTACTGATTTATATAGTTAATTTGTAATTATTTGACTAAGCCAGTTATTATCAAAAGTATAGCTAATAATTTTGTTATTTTAAAAATAACTGTTTTTGTAAATGGATACTTTTTTATAGCACATTGCAATGTTCATTGCTCGTTATCATTTACATATAAATATTAAATGTATGATTTTATCAGTGACTGGAAGATTCTTTTTAAATATCAACTATTTTGAATTCAAGTTGTAGACATTAAATATAAATTATTTTAAATTCTAGTTCATTGTTTTTAAAATGTTCTAGTTTAAGTTCATTAAATTGAAATGAGAGTAAATTATTTGTAAATGATATTGTTTTAATTTATTTATTAAAATGATAATATACAGAAAAAAATGTATGAATTATGAAATATTTTTTATAACAGATCAATTTTAAAACTTTAATATTAAGTATTAAACATATAGCGTTGTATAAATAACAAAATAATAGGTAGGTGCTTATTCCAAGTGAACAAATTCTTTATCATCAGTGATTTTTATAAATAACTATATATTTTGTAATAATAATTTTTTAATTGCTTGGTTAGAAAATATTGAATTACTTATTTTTATGTTTCTGGTTTGTTTCAGATAGGCGTGGAAGGTGGTGTGATGGAATTGATCAAACATTATGAAAATTATGTATTTCTCAGGCGTAAAAGGTTATTGAAAGAATGTGAACACTTTGAATCAATAATTAATCAATTTGTGAAACGTATGTTATTGACTCCTTCAGTAAAAAACAAATATTATAATACTCAAGAATTCCTTGTTGAAAAACAATCAACGAATAAAATCAATGGTATAGCAGAGAATGTATTCAGAGAAGAAAAAGCATCCACAGCTGTTGAATCTGGGCATATTGGTAATATAAATACAGTTCCAGTTAAATCTGAAATTATTGATACAAGTACAGATGATATTTATAATAGAAAGATGTACTATACAAAATTTACTAACTCAGATATACAATCTAACGATCTCCTAAAATGTTCACATATGCTCTGTGTTCCCCCAAAACCTAAATCAAATTTATTTACAAGTAGAAAATCATTTTTAAGCACTGAAAATTCATCTAACCGACAGAATGAAAAAAATAATTACCTTTTAAGAAATAAAAAAGTTTTTGATGTTTCTAAGTCTGATTCTACTTCTACTTTTAATAAAAATATTCCTAATTTTGTTAAATCCATTGGATTAGATCAAGAATCTTTCCAAAAAATTATTGATGAGTTTAAAAAAACTTGCAATCATGAATCTAGCAAAAACCCAGATATTGACAATACAATAGAAGTAAATAACTATTCCGATAATCCCAGTTGTGAACCAATATAATAGTTTACAATATTATGGGAGGGGGGAGTGTTTGTCTTTGTCTTACAAACATAAAATTCTATTAATTTGGAGAGAATTAACTTAGTGTCAAAGTTGTACATTAGAATATAGAACTGTATTAGATAATTTACACTATTAAATTTAGCAGATTGTCTAAATTGAAACTCATGAAATAATAAATTGTTAACCTCAGTGAATTTCAATTTTTAGAGAGAAAACTAAATAAAGTTATTTTTAAATATATACAGACAAATCACGCTTTGACGGTATTAGTTAGACAGTTGATAATTTTTTTATATTACAATTTAAATAAAATCTTTCTTAATAAAATTACCGAAGTTTTTGGGGGCTCGTTTATGAATCAATCATTTTAGCTTATGCCCCATAGCCCAACCCTCTTGGTTCTCACCATCCAAAAAATGTTCAACATGGCAAATTTGCATTCAGCAGAACCAATTTTGAGCTATTAAAAGTGAAATTTACTTAGCATATTATTTAAAGGCAGGAACAATGTCTATAAATGTTGTATATATTACTAATATATGTTAGTATAATATTTGTCGATATTTTTTGTATTGCAATATTTTATATATTATGCATTAATTTGCTTAAAAATTAAAATATTGCAAAATATTAACATACAGACACAGATAAGGTTCTCTCTTTTAATTTTGATATTAAGTTAATTCACTCCAAATTATTAGAATTTTATGTTTGTAAGACCAAGATAAACACTTGCAAGTGAGGTTTCTTTATTATTAGAGCCCGGATTTATATACATTTAAAAAGTGTCAAATATGATGCAAATATTTAAAGAAAAAGTGGCTAAATATGCAATTATATGCATTATGTTACACTAAATAAAATTTTTTTAAACCTCATTTTTACACCAAAAAAAATCTAAATATTTTATAAAAAAAACAAAAAAAAAATTATATTATCCAAATAATTTAAATCTATATAAAACTATTAAAAAACTAAAAACAAATAAAAAAAAAATAATAAAAAAAAAAAAAAAAAATAATTTAAATCTATATAAAACTATTAAAAAACTAAAAACAAATAAACAAATCTTTTAAAAAAAATTTTTGAAACTTTAAAATATGTCTTAAACATTAGTAATATAAATTTTAAAATGCCAGAACAACACTTAAAATTAAAATATGAGAATAGGTTCTTTTAATAATTTTCGTAACAGTGAACAATAATTTATTTTTCCATATTTTCTGATGTCATTGAAGTTCTTTTTCAGTTAGAATTGACTTATATGTACTAAAAGACCTATCTACATCCACCAAAGTTATCAGTGCAAACTTCATACATGAACTCATAGAAAGAGTTAATTTCGGCTGCATGATACCTTTTTCTTTCTCTGACAAAATTGCTGTTATCTGCTTCGTGGTTTTGAATCCAACATTTTTTTCAATCAAATATAACAATTTTTCTTGAATTATTTTTCCCTTTTTTCCTGGTACTTTTTCCATCGCCAAAATAACATTATTTACAATTTGAGTAGAATCACACAAAGTTCAACTAGAATGTTCCAAATTGTTTATACTTTTCACTAGTATAAAAAAATGAGATTGAATAAACGTAAGGTCACTTTTAACCGATTCCAAACTTGGCATATTAAAACATTTTTGTATACTAACAACAGTTTTATCTTCTAATTTCTGTAAAATTATTTTAAGATCATCAAAATGTTCTGCGCAAAAATTAGCTGCTTGAATCTATGTTGCCCATCTGGTTAGTATTGTTTCTGGCGGCAAAGACACACTGGGCATTATTTCTTTATATACATCTACTCTCTGAGGTGCTTTAAGAAATACTTTTTTTAAATTACTAACCAAAGTATTTACATTAGGGTACATTTCTCTAACTGTTTCTGCTAGACGCTGGATCATGTGAGCAAGACATGAAATGTGTATCATATTAGGAAAACTTACGTTATGGTTTTACCAGCTTTGATCATATATGGTACGGAATTAGAACATAAAAGTAATACTTTTTCATCATTCCCCCCGTGAGGCCACAATATTCTCAGGCTGTCATTTACAAAGCGAGAAATTGTCGAATGATTAGTTTTATCTAATTTTTTCAATTGTTCTTACATAACATGGATGTAGGAAAGACTTTCGTAAGGTGCTTTCATCAAGAATGTGTTTTTTTGTATAATTTTGTAAAAATTCGCGGAAGCGTGGATTTTGTAGCTTAAACCAAGGTCTATTTGCTTCTATGAGGCTCAAACACAGATCTTCATTAAAACTTGATGTTTTTGGTTTGGTTTCATGTCTCAACAACATTTGCTTACTATCGTTAGAACTTTTTTTCAAACATTTCTAATGAAACTCGGTTCTTACATGTAATGTTATTTGAAATTTTTTATTACAATGCACCTGGCGATCACAAACTTGACAATAAATTACTAATCCACTAGTGGTAAACACAGTTTTGTCACGTTTTTAAGGCTCTATCTATCGATTTATGGATGAACTCAAATTAGACTTAGTTTTTGGCATTTTGTCTTTTTTTCAAACGGGCTAAACTAACACTACCGCGGACAAGCAAATCAATGTACAAATGATGGTCGACGACTACGTATTAACTATTAATTAATTGCCACCGTCCAGGGTGGTGGCTATTTTCACTGGTTGACAGGGGGTGGCTGAGAATTTCTGATTGTCGGTGTATTGAAATTTAACTAAATAAGATTTATAAATATAACGATACGTGAATACACAATGAGATTTATTGAGGTTAACAATTTATTATTTCAATAATATTTGTTTCATGAGTTTCAATTTAGACAATATACTAAATTTAATAGTTTAAACTATCTAATACAGTTGTATATTCTAACGTACAACTTGGATACAAAGTTAATTCTCTCCAAATTATTAGAGTTTTAGTTTGTAAGCCAAAGACAAACACTTGCAAGTGAGGTTTATTTTTTATGTACGATATTATTGTATGAATAGACAATTTACTAAATTTAAAAGGTTACACTATCTAATAGTGTTGTATATTCCAATGTATTTCCACCATTTAGTGATTTTTCATGATCAGATATAAATTTGTAATCTATTTTTATTTCATGATCTGGTATTATTTCACAGTCAGAATCTGAATTCAAATCATCATCGCCTTAGTCCACAATTTTATATTCTGTTTCTTCTATTTCATAATTTGATATTATTTCTTCACTGGAACTCTAGGAAGCAAACTGCAGGCTCTTTGATATCAGTAGACTGCACAAACTTATCATATTATTCAAATCATCTGTTCCGACCATTCTGACCATTGGTGAACCAGGAAAATACTAGTGGCACATTTTCAGATTTGTATGTTGGGTAAAGTTTGAGTTATTGACCATTTTAGATAATGGTTGTCCCTGCCGAAATCATTATATGCCCATAAATATATTTATAATACAATTTTCGAATTTCCTAGAGTAACATTCTTATAGTAAATAAATCCTAGGTTATCCAAATATATCATTAAATGTTTCTTGATATTTTAAAACCACCCAAAGCTCAAACTTATGCTATTATTCAAAGGATCTTTACAGACCATTGGAGAACAAGAATGTTACTCTTGGCACATTTCCAGTTGGATGGGTTCAGGTGCCGGGTACGGTTTGGGTTCCCGTTTATCATTGTGTATCTGGGAATTAATTATTTTTGTGACTGATTAGCAATCTTAAAAAAATATAGTTATACTAAAAAAGCATCTTTAAAATATTCTTGTATTTTATCGTGTTCAGCATCATTATCACCATTATCATTAGCAGTCAGTTGAAGACAAGAAAACATATAGATTGAATGTCTAGATTTAATTTGTAATTGTGAAGACCTTTTATCACCATTTATTTTTGAGTTATAAATTGTATTAACATCTGACGTTTTTAAACCATGTGAATCATGAACATTAATTAAACCGTTAGGCATATTTATAATATCTGAGACTTTTTTATAATTAATTTCCTCTTCGTCATCAGATATGATTATACATTAGGATTACTCATTTACTCATCACTATCTGATTTCATTTCATCATTAGATAGAATCATTTATTTTATTCTGCCATTCTCAGTCGCAGACATGAACTATTCATGGGATTCTTAACTATCCTGTAATACAGTATCTGATCCTTTTTGAAAATTCTTTCTTGCAAATTTGAATGTAAATATATTTTTATTATTGAATTCCTGTTCATCATTGGATATAATTATACATTGGAGTCGCTCACCACCATCAGATACAATCATATATTTTATGCTTCCATTTAAATTCACAATGCCATAGACTTCTTACCATGCAATAAAATTGCACACGCTGGATTAAATATTGGGTATAGTTTTGAAAGTAGATAAATTTGTATTATTATATTCTTTTTCACTATCGAATATAAAATTATACATATGGATTCCCTAATACCAGGAGATTCATTTTTGTCATTAAATGAAATCACACTTGTTAACTTTTTTGTTTTAAAGTCAACAACGAGGCCAAACCTATTAAGAACCAGGAAGTTGTACTGGCAATAAAAGAAATAAAACAAATTTTTAGATGTAAGGAAATATTACGGGACGCATGCCTAAGCCAAATAGGATAGATATAGATAAGCATAGATAGAAAATTACATAAGCCACGAGGAACAGACAAACGCGATCGTGTTATGGAATGGAGAGTCAGATTAACGGGTTCTAGACAAATTATTAATTAATGAATATCCAATTCTAAATATCAGATGTTATGATAAATGGTTCAACCAACAGTTTAGTATCCAATTTCAAAAAATGGATACCAAACAAATCATATTCGAATTGGATTTAGGAACATTTAATAAATCAGGAAGATTACTAAACCTAGAAGAAACCCATAGTATAATTTGTCAGAAAAACCATAAAGTAACACACTCGCACGATCCAAGAACAGATGTCAGGTTAACTAAATGCATATTTGATTACGTAATCCGTAAGCAAGGTTTTGATAGGCTAACAGAATTTACATTTGAATCTTTTCCTCTGTATATCGACTGCCTACCACACAATTATAAACCAGTTCTAGGGAAATTAAATTTAGAGGTGTTGAATGTTGAGTGCCAGAAGAACAAACGCTAACCTAGTTTTCTTATCTAAATTGTTGAATGGGGAAGTTGATGCTCCAAATAATATGATAATGAGGATAAATTTTAATGATCCTGGTGCTAATTTGCATAATTTTCCTCCTTTCCTTGTTCTTTTCTATGCGACAAATTATTTATATAACAAAATCGGTTTTCTTATGATGCTTTGAGCAAATGGTACCCATTACTTCTAAACAATTCTTTTTGTATCTAAATGTTTTTTATTATATTACCATCTTAATTAACTGCTGTTTATGTTATATGTTTATTGTTTAATTATTAATTACTAATGTTGTATTAAAATGTCAAGGGCCTGTCCCGTTTTTTTTTTTATATTAAATAAATACTTATTAGTACAATCAATTTTAAATGTTAGTATTGCATTCTAGTACTCTACCTATACTAGCCATTTAAGCTATTTAAAAGGACAACTCATTGATTAATTAATTGTATTATAAGGTATAAATAACCTATCAAATAATAATATAACAACATCTATACTTTAATATCCAAAATGTAAACAATAATTTTAAAAAGCGATTATTATTATTGATTTTTTAATATGAACATTTACTTATACCGACAATTAATCATGATTAATACAAGGTATCAATAAAATGTTAATTTTTTCAAACATAAATGTAACTCCAATTTACGTAAAATGAATCCATTGTATGCTAGAATTGATTTATGTATTCAATTTAATATAAACCAATTAAGTTTCTAAAATTGTATGTTGTATAAAAACTGTATTATTAAATTAATATTATGAATGTGTAAACCAAATATTTAGTTTTAGATTCTATTAATTTATATACCTACTTTTATTGATATAGCTCTTAATTTTTTATCTTATCTATCATCTGTTTATTTAATATTATATAATATTTTATCTGATTTAATTCGAGTTACTAATTAAAATTATTATAATTTTTATGAAGCAAATCTACTCCCAAAAAATCAAATAAATTAATTGAACTCTAGAACCCACAACACGCATTAGCTTACAGGGGTTTAGTAATCTTGTCTGTAAAAAAAATTTTTAATGTACATATGTTTGGTTACAATGAATATTATTCAATAAGATAGAAATTAAAATATTCGATTATATATTCAGACTCTTTTACACCGTCGGTCACAATTTCACAATTTGAGTCCTTCGCACCAAGCCTGGGCATAAACAAGTTAAAAAGCTTAAAGTAAGTTAATTTTGACTAGCTTCATTTTTAACTTACCTTATTTTTATTGATATAAAATTAATAAATAACGAGTTACTTTTAATCAAATTCAATCTATGTTAATTTATTAATGATAAATTAGTAAACTTAGGTAATAATATTATTATTGATAATGCATATTGCATAAAAATTTACTTTTTTTATTTTTTTTGAAACCATATTACTGGGTATTTATGTATTGAAAAAAAACAAAACAACTTAACTCAAGGTAGTAAGTTGATTGTAAGTTTCATTACGACTTTTAACTGGGTTAAAAAAAAAATTAGGATAACTATTAGCTTTAAATTTTTTTTAATGTTTTATATAATTTTAAAAATTATTGTTAACCTGCCTGTACTATTCTATTGCTAGTACTGTATTAGTATTAGATTAAAGAATTGAACTGGATAGAAATTACACAATATCATATTTTGTATTTACTTAGCAAGATATGATAATAATAATAATAATAACGTAATCGTTATCATACATTACACTGCCCAGGTTTTTTAAATACTTAGTAACAAAAAATGTAATACAATTAACATTATAATCACAATATTAGCATTATTGTTGCATAATACATTTGTTTATATCATACTTGTTAAAATTGTTATTTATAAGTATCTAAAATGATAAAGTATAATGTATCTTTTGTATGTAATTTCTGAAATGTCATTCAATATATATTGTTTATAAATGTATCATTTATAAATTAAAGTAAAAATGAATTTGAATATGAATTAAATTAAATGATACAACCCATATTCTACCTGTATATTTCTCATTTGGCACTCATTGGAAATGTTTTTTTTTTTATAACTGCGTGTCAGACACCAAAATTTACAAGTTTATATTTTTTACCATTTATTTAAGAGGGCGCCACACCCGCATGCGTTGTCTCCGTCTTACAAACGAGTAACATACCAAATTTACGCTCAGCAGTTCAAGTTTTATGCCGTTAGCATAAAACTTGAACTGCTGAGCGTAAATTTGGTATGTTACTCGTTTGTAAGACGGAGACAACGCATGCGGGTGTGGCGCCCTCTTAATATTTGGTACAAATAATATTACTTTTCAAATATTTAATAAATGTAAATCTTGCTGTTTGATCTACAATCTTCACTAACCAATAAGTACAGCATTTAAATAATATTCAATATTTTAATATATACATTTATTGATAGAAATGCTACTTTCAATCACTTTCATGTCACTCATATTACTATAACCATTGATTAAACTAGTACTTATAACCATTGGTATAACCTTGGTCTGTTAATAATTTTAAAAATGTAGATATTTACACATTTTATTTTTTAAATTATAGCTAAATAATACATTTGTGCACATTAAATTTTACATAGCTTTGTATAAAACAGAAATCTTTTTTATAAGAATGGTTTGTTAGAGGGATGTGTAAAAGAACATGGGACATTTTTACAATTTATGAAGGTAAGTAAGGTTTTAAAAACTGAATTTACACCCTTTGTGTGTTTTATACAAAATATAAATTATGACTTGTCTCCTAAGTATGGAAATAAGATTTATTGAGCCAATTTTCTCACTTACTATAGTTAATACTTATCAACATAAATATAAAATTGATACTGAGGTTTTTAGATTATTTTATTTTTAAATTAATGTAGGCAGAATATTATGTATGCATATTTAGTTTCATAAAACAATGTTCACAATAACAGAATTTTAATCAATAATAATGTGAAATAGTATAAATGATTGTTTTATTTACAAAAAAAACATATTAATGAAGACATGCAGCTTCATGTTATGTAGTTGTCAATTGTTCTTCGTTAGGTTTAACAGCTGCGTTTACTTGATCCGCAGCTATTTGTATTGCTTTTGCTTTTTTGTTACTTTCTAGCCAATCTAAAAATGTGGCTCTATAAAATATGTTACTATTAATTCAAATTTTTTTTAGTGTTATAAAATTATATGCACATACTTGCAGTGCTTATATGTGCAACTAACACTACAATATTCATTGTCCCATTCTGCATGTTGAATAGCTGCATTATTGCATCCTTCTGCTATGCACACATCTTGTGATTTAAGTTCAGGAGTTGTAGTACTAATGACTCCTACCAAATATATATATGATACGTAAGATAATAAAATAAATTAATACAATTATTTATGAATGATAAAGAATATTTTTTGTATATATATACTCTGTTCCATCTAAAAGAGCACCGAGTGGCGGACAATAATCCCCATCGCAGGCAGCGCTGTCAATCAGAGTGATTACACTCAGCCCCCAGTCTGGACGTCGCTCTGCGATTCATTTGGGTACACCAATGCAGTGTGCCCTTAGATGGAATAAAGTATATTTATATAGATAGTACATTGTGTATACAGATAATATTTATTTTTATCATCTTATTTAATTTATAAAATATTGAGAATGATTCATATTTTTAGTCTTGAAATTAAAAACTACTATAATTCTATAATAATTACAAGAAATCATTAAAATTAAAATTAAAATAACTCAAACGCTGAAAAAAATTATATTGGAATTAGAATTCAAACTGGCACTCTCACCTTCTGTCGATGTACTTGTACTCGGAGTCATTGAGACATCGTTCTCTGAATTGGACATGGTGAGTCATGTGATAATAGTCACAACAAAACCATAGAATAAATCGAAAGAGCACAATGTCGAGGGTATGATTTGTTTATAATATATAACAGACAAATAGGCAAAGGCTATAGAAATCTGAAAAATAATGAAATGTTTATAATATAGGTAATTATATATTGTGTTGTACTCAGTACTTACTTTTGTGTATAAACTATAAAGGCAGAAATGACTTACGGCACCATTGGCGTTTGTATACCTGAATAATCAAATATTTAATAGAAGGTAAATAAGAACATTTTAGCGGGTAGCAATAAATCGATAATGCTACGAGGGACGTTAATCGTTATCACTTATCACGGAGCATAGACATAAACAACTTACTTACTCTATGGAGTAAACACTAAGTTGCTTATACAAACAAAATTCATTATTATTATTATTATCATCATCACTACCGCCATCCGCCGGTAGGACAAGTTGAAAATGCGCATGTCATGGCCCGTGGCGGTCGTCGGGGACTACCAGATAAGAAGAACACGAACCTCTCCTCCGTCCAACCCACCTACCTCATAACCACCATCATCATACTAGTGGGATTCTCCCCGCCAAACACCGCTGTGGCTACAACAATATTGTTATACTGTCTGCGTCTGGTGCGAGTAAAAAAAGTACACTGATAACGACATAATATTATAAAATATCGTAACAATATTGTTATATATACTGTTTGAGCGTTTGAGCATGTTGTATGATGCGTAATATTGAAATGATTCGTGCGTGAAGTGTGAATTATTTCCTAAAGTATAATCGTATTTTAACATATATTGCTCGAGCAGGCGCAATGCGCCCACCTCCTCCATTGACGCTGCGCCGTTGTCTATCGTCGGCCGCCGCTTGAATCAGACTGTTTGCCGCTGTCGCCGTACCGAAATGTAATAACCGCCGGCCGATTGGTCATTTTGGACGTTACTCAACGACCGTCGCACCTCGCCGACGATCCCGCAGCGCATTTACGAGGCGATCCCGTGCACCAGACATTGGACACTGCGAACACCGTTCCGTCGACAAAGAAAGCTTAGAAATATAAGCTTTCGGGTCGGTATTCATGGAACTATGAACCTGGATTCATTGTCATACACGTTGGCTCAAATCAGTTATCTCGTCAGTAATTTGTCGAAGAAGAACTACAAGCCGAGCGTACAAGAAATTTTCGACGTGAGTATAACGTATGCTGCCGTGTGCGCTGGTTGTGGGCCAGAGGGGGGTGGTTCCTGAGTAATGCGTCGTTTGCCATTAAAATTTTTGTTTGCGTGTTCGCACCCCCTGGAGTGCGTAGGTATTTCATTTCATGCGTACACCCACTTGAATGTAACTACAGGTGGGTTATGTTTTTGCTGGAATTTTCGTTCGCCATTTTTGTTTGTCTACACATTGTCTCAAATTAGTTATGTCATCAGCAATTTGTCAAAGAAGAACTACAAGCCGAGCGTACAAGAAATATTCGACCTGAGTATAACATGTGCCGATGGCGTATGGGCCAGGGGAGGGTTCCTACCTAATACGTCGTTAGCCATTAAAATTTTTGTTTGTCGTGTTCGCACCTTCCGGAGTGCGTAAGTATTCCATTCCATGCATTCCCGCTTGAATGTAACTACCGATGTGTTAGGTTTTTTTTGGTATTTTTGTTAGTTTTGCCAATTTTTCCTAAACTCTATTTCTTGGCGTCGGCAGCTCCAACATTAGTGACACCATATTAATGGTTTTTCTTGTAAAAAATTTTTTTATTTTATGTGATAACGTATGAAACTCCCTAAACAGTTGTAGATTTGGTTCCACCAAATATTTGTTGAAAGTTAATTTTTTTTTTAAATTTTTTAAATTATTAATTAGTTTAATTACTGCATAATATATTATATTAGGTATGTTAAAAATATTTAACTTAGAATTTTGATGAATTTATAAACATATTGCCATTCAAATTTTGCTTTAGTCTCATTAATCTCAAGGTGAATAAGATAAATGTCACTTATATGTTTTTGAGTTATATACCTCAAATGTAACTTATGAATTCTTTAAGGGGCGAAAAAAAATTTCAATTTCAATTTTTGTTTTTAGTTATCAATGTTCCAGTTATTTTGACTCGACTGTATAAAAACTTAATTAAATTTGTACTGCTGATTAATATGATTTTATTTTTTAAATTTACAACGCTTAATTTAAAAACAGTAATACCTTTGTACCTTGACTATATTTTTAAATTATCCTATATTATAGTAGTCTCATTAATAACAAATATTTTATATTTATTTGTGGTTAACACAAGCAGCTCAAATAATAATATTAGGTTCTATACAACCAGGGCATCATTAAATATTTAAACAGATAAAAAAAACAAATATTATGATAAGACATTTATACAAAATATTACTTGTAAATTATCTACCAATTAAATTTATGCTAACTATGTATTTGAACATTAAATATAATTATAAAAAATATATGGCAATAATTTAGTATGAGCTATACTGTGATTATATATTTTTCTTAATTAAACATGAACAAGAATACCTATAGTTCATACAAATAATTGTCTTAACTTCTAAACATACCTACATGTATTTTGTACCTTTTTATAATTATGGTCTTAAAAATACTTAAATGCATTAGTATTTAAATTTATTATTTTGTGTCTGCCTATGTCCTTTTAAAGTGTAAACATTTTTAGATTGTGTTACATAACATATTTATTTAATTATTCTTTTAGTAAGCTTAAGTTAGTTAAATCACTCTGAAATCTATGTATACTCGCATTTCTTACTGACAGTTTGGATTATTTTACTCACCCTTAAAATTACAATTATCTATGGAGATAGTTTTTAAAAACGTGCTATGCTATGCTACTACCTACATAAGAACATTTTTTAAAGCTTGGTAAGAAATTTGGTACTTATCATTATATTGTCTGAGTAGTTCCAAGTGTGTTTCAATTTCATTATGGTTATGCACAGCAATATAATATTATGGCATTCCATTTCTACAACATTTTTGTTTATTTATGTGTAAAAATAAAATATTAGTTTTTAAGTATAAACAATGTATTATTGTTTAAATCCATGTTTAGTATTATAATAGATGATTTTATATTTTAACCTAATCAAGATTTTTTAATTATATTTAGTTAATAAAAAAAATTATACTTCAAATGTGAAATAGTTATAATTTAATTAAATTGTTGTGTTATATATTATTTTTTGAATTATTTTAATTGATTTATTCTCTTTAAAGGTTATTCAATTACAAGGATTTGAAGCTGACCGACATCTATTACGTTGCCTGTTTTCTCACATTGATTTAAAAGACACTGAAGGACCAAGAAATACATCTCATAAGGATTATTATCAAGCTCAATTACTTGCACACCAGTGTACAACTCTCTTGAATAAACCTTCTCTAACTTCAATATTGTGTTTTGCTCTTGACAATCCACTTTTTTCTCAAAAGGTATTTATACTATTATTTAATTTATATTTTGATAAATATATTTAATATCATTTAATTAATAGGCACAAAAACCATCAATACAACAATTTACTCAGCTTAGCAGAATACTGCATCTAAGTCCCGTTCAAGAAGTTGTGTTTGGGCTTGTTTGTTTAGAGTCGACAAATTACTCTACTTACGCTTTACAATTTGTTAAACAAAAGTTACCACTTCTTATTAAAAACTATATCAATTCAGGTACATTAATACAATTTATTAATTAATGTAAATAATATGTAATATGAAATTTGTTTTAATTTAGATATCAATTCTAATCAAGTCGTTGGAGGTGGATTGCACGATTCTAGTCCTGAAGTTCTACATCTGATTTTGAGCCACGTATTTAATGTTGACGATCAATTATTTGGTGTGTTAATAAACCATATTTAAAATTTATGTGTTTAAATGTCAATAAATTTCAAATTTAATACTATTATTCAACAAATTTTGATAGAATTACAGAACTAAGTACTAAATTTATTATTTGGCTATTTTATTAAATACTAAATTAAATAACATTTTGAAATTGTATGAAAAATAAAAAGCAACAAATTAAAGTTACGGCATTATAATTAAGATGGTCAATCAATCAAATCATTTATTTTATAAATAATACTGCTATATGTTCGTTTTTAAAAAATTAACTCAATGCAATTAAAATAAATTGTTTATTATTTAGGTATTTATAATCAAATTAAGGTAAACATTTATTATATTTTTCTTTTATCAGGAATAAGCAAAGAAGTGAAAAAAGTTTTATTACTTAACCTTCGTCGTGATTTTCCACTCGAGGTTGCTCCAGTATTATTGGCACCATTAATATATTCTGATAAACCAGACCACCCAATGGATAAAATCAATTCAGATACATCTACTATTCCTAAAATAATGGTAATTACTTTTATTTTATGAAATTTATTTAGAATTTTCATAATTATATATACTTGTTATTTTAATAGGAAAATCCGTCATTGCCCAATTTAATAATGGAAATGGGCTATTCGGTGTGTTCATCATTAGATGAATGCCGACGAAACTTGTTATCTGTAACTAATGGATGTGTCCCATCAATAACTTTTGGTCCTGAATCTGTCGCTAAAGTGATATCAATGATGATACGTACGCATACAGGGCTAGATTCTCAATTACCTTTACCATATTGGACAGAAGACGATGCTGACCATGACTTAGACAAAATATCTTCTAATTCTATTACATGGAACATTGAAGTGTTCGTTAACACAATCAAAGAATTGGTAATATTTGTTATATTATCATTCCATAAATTATTATTACACTGTTAAATATTTTATTTTAGAACCCTTCGTTATCTTGGATGGACTTGATAAAAGAACTTGATCATGAACATTTTTTTGTCAAGGATAGACAAGGTTTAGTCCTTCTGTTTTTGGCTTTAAGACTTGGTTTAAATTCTCCAGGGTACCATATAGAGAATTTCCCTATAAATTTGATTTATCGACGCTGGAAAAATTCTGATGCACAGGTAACTTTGTCTTCTGATAAAATTTACTTTTATAGTTTTCTCTATGTATAAATGAATAATACTTTGTTTTTTAGATGTCTCTAATTCAACATATACTTCGAAGTTCTGATGTGTTTTGTTTTGCCGACTATCCTTATAGATCAGTATCTATAGATTCATTAAAAACTATTCCAGAAGCAGATAACAAGGATATCAACACTTGGTATGTAATTCATATATGATGTATAGATATTGCTTGATGATGAAATGGCTTATTAATGATTTTGATAGTATACTTCTATCGTTTATC